TCGGAAGTCTGCTAGTTATTGCAGATTCCAGCTCGACTCTCCCATCCGCTGTCCTCACAGATACTTATAGGTGGTTACCACCTATAGTGCTGCCACTCATGGGGGTAACAGGTTATTCCATCACATCACACAGATTTATGAAAGCTGAACAAATCGGGTTTTAATTATTCAAAGAATCTGCTGTTACTAAAATTGAAATATTTCATTTGTTTACGATTCATGAACCTTTTGCCAATAAGGGGTAAAATTTTTGCAGATAAAAACAAAAAATGTAGCACTCAAATGGATCCGATTCTGCTGTAAATTTAATTTCTGTCTTGATCTCAGGGCTCGGGGAGTTATCGAAATTTACATCATTTATACATGGACTATTGTTCTAATTTTTGTTTTTATTGTTACAACATTTTCAGCCATTGTGCTGTCTGGCCATCTTCAGGAGATTGTCAATCCAGATAACCTTTCAGAAAACTTTGAACCAAAAACTTTATTCAATCTATGGGGCTGGTATTCTGGCCCTACTCTCCATATCTAGGGATATCTCATCTTGCTTTGTTATTGCTCCTCTCATTTCCATGGAGCCTCATGGCCAATAGCCTAGTGCAGTGTTTCTTAACCTTTTTTTTTTTTTACTTTAGGGTGCACTTTTAATTTTAATGAGAAAAAAATTAGTCATGACATTTTAAAACATGAAATTTATGGCTTAACATTAACAGTACATTTTTCATTTAAAGGGATTTATGAAGAATCTATTTTTTTTTTTTTTTTAGAGAGGTCAATAATGACTGATTTAAATTCCTTGAGGAAGGCAAAAGGGAAAGGATTATTCACTCCTTAAAGATTAAGGAATTTAGCAGCCAGTTTAAAATATCAAATGACAAAAACTTAACTTAGACACAGGAGCCATGTACTTGATGTCTCTACCTTTTTAAAAGTAAACATTTTTTAAATATGAAAATAATTCATAAATTACTCTTCTGTTAAATTGGTGGTTGTGGAGGGCACCTTTCACATTGCATTAATGAGCCTAGGTGCACTGGTTGAGAAATGCTGTTCTAGTGTGTAACATTAGATGGTGCAAAAGTCATGTTTATGGGAGACAATGAGTTTATTTATCTTTAATATGGATGCACTAAAGAGTCTCCATGTTTCTTAGCCATACAGGAGTGTTATGGGTGCCACATGGTAGATGCTGGTTTTTGTTTTCAAAGAAACTCCTATGAAATTCCACAGATTGTAATGCAGCTTACCAAAAGAATCAATTACTTTCGCGATATGGTCGACAAATTCATCAAGTGAAGCAGAGTTGTTCAGTGTCCAGCCAAGGTATGAAAAAGATATTACACATTTGAGTTCTTTTTCATTGATTGCGTTGGATACAGTTGTTAATTTGTGAGTTTGCTGCTACTGCCTAACACCTTTTGATTTACACACAAACACACACACAAGTCTCCTGAAATAAGCATTTATTTTTAAGATATTACATTGTATATTTAAGTATACATGTGTAAAACCTACACTTTGGAAATTTTTTGAATGCTTGGCATTATATATGATAGACATACTCTCATTAGCATTCCCAAAGAAGACTAGTGAGCATGTTTTCATTTAAAGGAATTTATGAAGAATCTACTATTTTTTTGTTTTTAAAGAGGCTGATAATGACTGATTTAAATCCCTTGAGGAAGGTAATAAGGAAAGGATTATCCACTGTTCCTTAAAGATTAAGAAATTTAGCAACCAGTTTAAAATATCAAACAACAAAAACTTAACATGTGCTTGGTGTCTCTAGCTTTTTAAAAATAAAGATTTTTTTTAAATATAAAAATAATTAATAAATTACTCTTCTGTTAATTTGAGGCACCCCTGCACATTAGTGCACCTAGGCACTCTGGTTGGGAAATGCTGGCCTAGTATTGGTTCAGGAACTTGGTGACATAGTAATTGTGAGTTCAATCCCTGGGCTGGATAGTGCAGACTTAGACTCACTAGACATGGACAGTAGAACATGAACAATCTATCTTTGTAGACTAAATAAAGGTTTCACTTCTAAATTCCAAGGTTACCTGGATCAACAAGCACCTGAAGAAGGCTGTAATGGTTGAAATGCTGTAATAATAACAATATACATGAGAACAATAGTCCAAGAATAAAACATTTTAGAACTGTTTTCAAGAGATTAACATCTCCCTGTCAAATAATGTTCATAAGCACTGGAACTATTTAAATACACTGGTCCACTTGTTAAAAAAAAAAAATAATAATAATAATAGGGGAAAGTTTTGGGGAAATAATTTTTGTAGATTATATCTTCCACATAACAATAGGAAGAGAAATTTCTATGGCATGTAATGAGAAAAGAGGGGTTTGAAAATTTGATACTCACAGGACAGATTGAGGGCAAAACAGGAAAACAATGCATAACCTACCTAGTGAGTTTGAGTAAATGGATGGCAGAACAATGTTTAAGGGAGATAACCAAAAGATAAAATTTATTAAGTGCTATGAAGGACAGGAAATTGTGGAGAGCCATGATCGCCAACATTCTGAAGGGACATGGCCCATAAAGGAAAAACCTTCCTCAAGTCACAATATTTGTCAAAACTTAAAAATAGTGATTTTTTTTTTATTGATTTAGAAGGGGATTACTGTTTCTAATATGAATAGTTACTAATCGATCCCTGACTTTTTACAGAGTTATCTGGACTTAATTTGTTATTTATAAATGTTAAGTTTGAAACTACTTGCATCATTGATATTTTAATTTTTTTTTTTTTATTCACGGAATTTTAAAAAATTTATTTAAAAAATTTTTTTTTTTTTTTTTTTGCAGGGGGATTTTTTTAAAAGAACAATTGGGGAATAAAATTCTTTGTCTTAAATGAAGAAGAAAGGGATATATACTTTTATTAATTTATGTAAATTATTTAAAAAAAAATATTTTTGTGTGAAAAAAAAATGTTTTGTATGCAGAACAGGTAAGTCCAGATAACTCTGTAAAAAGGCTGAAATCAATTTTACATCAAATCAGTATTATTAACAGGACCCACATCATCTAAAATGATTAAAAATAAAAAAAATCAATTTTTTTCCATTCTGATAATTGCTGTATCTTGAGGAAGGGCTTATAAATGCTAATCTATAAAAATTATTCCCCTCAAAATTGTTCCCTATTTTCCTACAAGTTGACCAGTGTATTTCAAGTGTCATTAAACTGGTGACAGCTTAGCAAAACAAGCTAAGGTTGATGTAGCCAAATTGAGTTACACTTGAAAGCAAAGTGCTACTAAATTTTGAACTGACTTTCTTCTCGTCAGTCAACCAAGAAGGCTCAACTTATTTCAAAAATTGTTCCAAAAGATGAGAGTAGCCAAATTGAAAATTTAATAAGGCTGGTTGTTTAAAAGTGTCCCCAATCTGGCCACCTGTAAGCAATTTCTTGTAAAAGTTTTCATTTATAGCCTGAAAACATTTCTAAGCAGAAGATCAGCCATTATCTTTACTTAATTTTAGTTTTAATTTAATTTTATTATTTGGGAATTGTTGGACATAGATGAGAAGTTTTCGAGACTAAATAAGAAAACAATGCAACAGCAAAATTGGATGTGCAGGTAGTGTAATGGTTATCAGCATGGAAAGTGAGATTATATGATGTATTCGAATTTTGGGTGAGTTTGTTGCATTCACTTTTGCACAGATAACCTTGAATGCATCTCTTCTCCTCCCTGTTAGTTAAATAGCAGGAGAAACTGAGCCCTCTAGACTTGGATGGCATCCAGTCTAAGAGAAGGACAACTGAATTCAAATCTGGATGGGCATAGAACTGGCAATTTCAACTATAAAAATCTACTTACTACAGAAACTAAGACATAGCATAGAGTGGGTGTAACTTTATGCAGCATGGGGGGGAGCATATCAGAAGCAAAAAAATACAAAAATACATAGATATTTAATCACTTCTTGTTGATCTGAGTAAACTTGTGTGTGTGAGTGAGAGAGAGTGAGTACAAGAAAAAATTTGTTAATCATCAGTGAACAGTATTTTTTGATAATATGCTAGGAAATTTTTTCAATGTACGACATAAAATTAATAACTCACTTATCACAGACTGTCTTCTAACAGAGAATGAGAAGTTGTAGATTAATTTGCATATTGCAATATAATAATAATAACAACAACAACAACAACAAAAAGATTGTGAATACCTAACAAAACATGTAGTCCAGTAAATCACTGGAGTTTTAATATATTTAAAAGCAAGCAGATTTTTGTAAATAAAATGCTTTAAAAAAAATAAACAGAGCAACTGTACTTAATAGATAAAGAAAAGTTCAAAAGACTTATCTTTTCACTTGAAGCTTCACAGATACACCACTTGTCAAGATCAGATAAATAAATTCAATATATATAACTTTCCTCTATGGTACATAGACTTTATGAATTTAAACACAGTACTAGATTGGCAGTAAGGTCTCATCATTTTACAGTTTAAATGGCTAGATGTGACCATAAGTTCTATGCTGACAATTTCTACTATTGCATTTCTTGCTTGTGGAACTCTCTTCAAGCTTCTTGCTTTCCAGTCAACTTTGATCTTGAAAAAATTTAAGTGCAATGTCATTCATTATCTTCTGTCTACTTATTTCTTGTTCATTTATTGCTCTCTCTCTCCTTAATAGTATTTTTTCATATTCTCGAACATTCACTAACCCCTTGCGTCTTAGTGGCATTATTGCCTTGCTTAGGGTGAAATGATTAAAAACATTTTATATATATATTTATCTGACCTTAACAAGTGGTGTATCTGTGAATAACTTGAAATCGGAAAGATGAGTCCTTTGACAATTTCTTAATCAATTAACTATTGCAAAATATATATTATTGAAAAAAAGAAAACAATAACAAAAAAAGGCAACTTTATATAAAAAATTTGCCATTTTATTTCCAAAAAAGTATAAAATAATCTATTTTACAATTTATTATCGTCATTTCTTGATACTTCTTAATGACTATGAGTAGCGGAGATATCTGGGGTGAGGGTCGAGGGTGAACAGGGCTCTGATGTGGACTTGAGCAGGCGATTGTCACCCATCTGGTGACGGGACTGATTCAATAGAGCCGTCTTCAGTCTCTGCTTGATGTCCTCTGTGGATGGTGATGGCTTGATGGTCAAACTGTTAGAATGCATGAGGCTGCGTGGAATGGCTGCTAGTTTCACCGTGCAAGGTTTGATGAGTTTTCGCGGGTCGACAGGAGCCATGTCTACATCCCCTTCCAGCCCATCCATGCCCAACATGGAGTGATAAGTGTTGCTATGTGACATGGACATCAGCTCTGGATTAACTCCTCCTGTCAGATCTATTGGTTCCAAAGAGGACATTTTAGCCTGCAGAAAAACGAGGAACCGTGTTAGGACTTTTTGGAGAAGGCTTAAGAAAATTCTGGTACAACCTGGATTTTTTGGTGAAAATTTTAAATAAGGCATTTTTTTTTTTTTAACCTTTTTAATTTATGGCTCTTCCTGCCTTTGTTGCAGCCTTTTAGCACAAAGTCTGGATCAATCCATAAGGATATTTTTGCTGGGTTTACACTTGTACTCAGAGTAGGCTATATGAAGTTTCTTCAGGAAAATTTTTGATATGGTGCAAGGTCCAAAAATGGTAGATTATTTTTATAATTAATAAATGATGAATAATCATCTGTTTTTTTTTGTTTTGTTTTTTTGCTTTCTTTAAATATACAGAAACGACTTGTTGGCAGGTGAATAACAAAATGGTGGAAAAATGTTGAGACAAATGGCACTTGAGATGTTGGCAGAAGAGGTTACTTAAAGAAAAAAAACATTACTGTCTTTTATTATAAAGCTTACACATATTTTTTGGAATCACTGTGTCTTTATTGGTTGATAAATAGGGCAGCTGACAAGAGAGTAGTACTTTAAATGTCATCTATGGCTAATGTTAGCATTTACTTTTATCATAATGAGATTGCTTATACATACATTTTTAATATTATTACTTTGAAAATAAAGGAAAGAGCATTATTTTTTTATTGAAAGAAACATTTGATCCTTTTGAGATTTTAGATGCAGAAAAGCTAAAAAGATCTGCCATTGACTCTTGAGTAAAATTTGTATTTTTTCTCATTTTGTTTGTATATGTTGCATTTTATTGTATTGAGAAAGTAAGAAGAATTTGGGGTTGCTGCCTGCCTTTCTTTCATATGAAACTGATAGAACAAATGTAACAATTCCTTGCCCAGAATCTCTCAAATTTGCAAATCCATCACTGGTTAAAAAGTCTCAAAAAAATCTTATACTTGCAAAAGAGAACTCAACTGGAAATTTTGGGGGTTAAAAATAGAGTTGCATCAATAATGAAGAATTAGCATTATCTTTATTTTTCTATTTTTTCTCTCATTTTAATTATATTAGATAAAACATTAACAACCATTATTATTTGTTTTTGATAAGTATTTATTTTCATCTTCATTTTTTAGCTGCATTTTATTTCACCTTTATTCAGGCCATCACTCTTCAGCAGTCAGTTGACAAATGAGAATTAAAAAATAAGCTCTTAAACTGATATCTCTTTTACATCAGGAAAAGTAAGCTGCTCTTACTGACTGAGCTATCAGAACTTAATGGCATTCGAGAAGATCAAATTTAACTTTTAAGATTTATTGGAGTGACATAATGGCTAGTGGCTCAGAATGAGAAATCGGCGAACTAAGTTCAAATTCTAGAAGAGTTTGCTACATTTACTTTTGCACAAATACTCTTGGAAAAAAGTTAAATAGTAGAGCAGATCGGACTCTGCAGTGGTTGGCAACGAGTATACAAGAAGGGAAACTGAATTCCCAAATAAAGGTAGATGAAATCATTAGTGTGGGAACATGTGGTCATCTAAGGGAAGGAAAACACTGACAGAAAAATCAACCCTTTTTGAGGTTAGAGATTGGGTGTGCTGCTGATCAACCCACCCCATGGGACAATTCAGTTACAGACACCTTACCAGAGGCCTGATGTGACATGAGACACTAGGCAGATAGCATAAAATTAGGTACCTCCACTAGGTCGCATAAAAAACAGCATAGCACAATGAAAAAAGTCCCCAAACTCAATAAAAACAAAGTTTTGTGATCAAAATGTTTGTTATTATTAAGAGGAAAGACCAAAGTATTTTTTATTATTTTTTGAAATTTTTTAATCCTTTCTAGCACATTTGAAATTTTGGTTAAAATTCTTGTTTTTTTTTTATTTTGCGCTTTTTTTCCAAGGAAAATACATTGATTTGGAAATTCTTGAAAAATTCAAATAATTGTTGGATTTTAATGAAACTTTCAGGACATATTCAGAAATGAATGAAATTATTTTTGAAATTTTTATTTTTAGAAAATATTGGTAAAAATTATTATTTTTTTTTTTTTTATATATATGTTACCATCCACTTACACAACAGCCTGATGCACTGCAATTATTTCACTTTTAATTCAGTTCAATTTCATCATTAACGTCTTTGGATATCATCCCCTCAAAATATAAAAAAAAAAGTTTTACTTTTTTTAATTGCTATTTCACTAAATATTTTTATTTTATGTATTTATTTTAGTTTGGGTCATACTTCAATTAATTAATTTTTTGTTTAATGTAATAAACTTAAGAACCTAAAAACGAAATGCAAATATCATAAAGCTTCTTAAAAACTTAACTAAAAGTCAATAAAATATTAAATAATTGCTGAAAATATGTTGATTTGTAAACATTACTAGGTTGTTAAAAACTAAAAAAAAAATGCGTTCACTTAGTTTTTGTAAATATGTCATTTCTGGTCATCCATAAGAGCTGTCATCACCTTAAGTCTGTCTCCATAAATCAAAGATCAAAGAAAGAGGAACCCATCTTTAAGAAATGCTTGTATATTGTTTTTTTATGCTACAAGTAAGTAATATTTATTTCAAATCAGATTAATCTAACTTAATTTTTCTAATTTTACTCAAATAACGTATCACAAATCTATAATTTAATTTTTAAAGAATTTAAACCCAATAAATTTGTTTGTTTACAAATTTCTGAAAAATTAAGAAAACAGACACTTTTAAGAAAATTTTTAAAAATCGAGCAATTATTTGACATTCCAATCTATATAATTTCTATCTGAAATATGCCAGAATATCTACTTACTTGAAATAATAAATTAGCTTTCAATTAAAGCTAAAAATGAAATCCTCAAGAATGCTTTTTCATTTTTTAAAATTAATTTTAAACCTTAGGTATCGAAAATTTATGTTATGCTGAAGAAGTGGAGGTGCCTACATAAAATTTAACTTTTAAACACACATATTCCATGATCTATCTTGGTTCCAAATAAAAACAATATTTTTTATTTTTGATTAATGCTGTCTATTCGCTGGTATAGATTGATGGCCTGAATGAAGTTGCAATAAAATGCAACTCAAAAGTGAAAATGAAAGCAAATGCTTGTCGAAAATTAAGATAATAATGGTTGACATTGATTGATTTTTGTGTTTTTTATGGACTATCAACCTTTCCCAGGTTATTTAAAGCTAGAAAATATTTTGAGATTTAATAATTTTTTTTTTAGTGATACAAGTTATAGCTCGTGGAAATAAAAGGTGGATTTATACCTTTTACAAGGGTATTTGTGTAAGTGAATATTAACAAACCTGACTGGAATTGGAACTTGGCTCTCCAATTTCCAATTCCAAGCCATTATCCCTGATATGACCCACACATTCAAGCTTACAGCACCTGGTATTCCCAAGTGGTCACCCATCTTGGTAGGCTTAATGTTGCTTAACTTCGGTGATCACTTGAGAACTAGTGTTTCAATGTGATATGACTGTAACCCTATGATATATGACAATGCTTTATAAAATATATATATATATATATATATATATATAAATAAATTCAGATAATGCTGCACCTTCCAAAAAATAAGATCAAAGTAAATACTTGTTAACGTTAATAATAATTAAAATAAGAATAATTAAAATAAGAATGAAGTTAATTAGTAGAATTAATTTTGGTACAGCTGCCCACAGGTGAGAATCAAAATGATCATTTGAAAAATAGATGAATAGAGACATGATCTTGCATAGTAAAAAGTCATGGTGTTAAGGAAGGGATATTTAATGTGTGTAGTAAAATTAATTTTTATAATTTAAAAAAAAAGAAAAAAAGATGTGTTAACCATAAGAAGTGTTGTTAATGACAGTAAATAGGAAATGAATGGAAGAACATTTTTTCCTGGAACTGCAACAAAGGCAGGAAGAAAATTTTTGGAGTCAGAAGGAACAATAGCAATTATCACACAAAAAGGAACATTTGATATCCAAAGATAAAATATTGACGACAATCATCAGATCACAGCACAAACTCACATACAAACATAGGCATTTATATATACATGCATTACATAGAAACAACGACATAGCTGGGCTTGCTTTGGCACTTGAAGCAGAAAATATTTAACTATATAAATGCAATAAATCTTTTGCAACATCTTTTGCATGCTTTCTTTATTTTTTTTTTAAAAACTGTCTTATTAACCAATAACATGCTAATTCTGTTGAGAAACTGAATTTTACTTTGAAATTAAAAATATTAAATCTGTCTTTGAGCCTTGACTGATTTAAAAAAAAAAAAAAAAACTGATATAGGGACTCATGACTTATAATTAAGTACAGTTTTATGTTTACGAAAAAAGGAGAACTTATTCCTGGATATATATTGATGATTTCAACTTATCTAAATAAATCCGGAACGCCATAATTATACTAATTAAACTGTTTAATAAATCATTAATGCATGTGAAACCTGATTAACCAATGAAAATCAAACAACACAAAAATAAAAATACCAAAATTTCTTTCTTCTTTTTCCCCCATATGTCATTCTCTGATGAAATTTTAATAAAAGTGAAAGATGTTAGATTGCTAAATGTTTCCAATTTCTTATCAGTCTGTCAGATTCTGATTCATATTTGATTCCAATTTATCTAAATAAGTAATGTTGATTCCAAAAGTTTTTTGAATAGGTGGACTCATTCTTTATCTTGTTTATGCTGTACCTATAAGGTACATTCAACAGCCATCTTCACGTTTACTAGCCATATAAAAAGAGAGAGCCTATTTATCTTTCAGCAGTGCAAAACAGAAAAATATTTCAAAACATACACAACAAGGTGTGTGGATTTCATTGTTCAACAGTAGAATTTGTTTAACAAAGGAAAAAACTTGTAGGTGATGAATTGTTTTCCATCCTACAACCCCTTTTGCCACAGTCAAAATGTTGCAAAACTCTCACTAATCCATTACTACTTCCATTGAAAATGTTTTGATAAGCTACATTCCTTGCTTCTACCAGTTCAGACCTTTACAGCCAAGACTCATGTAAACTTAGATGAAGTATCCACATTCTCATCATATTTCATTGGTTTGGAGAAAATCACAGTCAAACAGATCCTAATTTGTGTAATAGTCTTCTGAGCAGATGATTCCTGATCTTTACAATTTTAACCTCTTCAAGTCTATGGCCAACCATTATCTATCCTACATATCCTCATAATCTGCACTTCTTCCCTCCTCCTATGTCCATATAACAACCTTATTCAGTAACTCTCTACCTTGAGCGACTCTTGGGCCTTGTATTGGGTGAATAATATTAAAATTGAATATTATTGCCATGTCTGGCTTGCTGCTTCTGCTACATATCTTAAGATTCTGGACAAAATCCAAAGAAGAATCTGCAATAATTTCAGTCCCAACCTAGCATCTTGGTTTCAATCCCTTTCCCATCACCATAATATAATTTCTACAATTATTTTCATGGCAATTGTTCTGATGTTGTTCCTCTTTGGTACCTTGATTTCATGAACTTAAGTGAAATGCTGAATTGTCATCTCGGTCTCATTTTGTTGTTGAAATTGCTAGATGTAACCAGAAGTTCTAATTCTAATCATTTTTTCTCTAACACTTCTTGGCTATGGAACTCTCTTTCAGCTTCTAGCTTTTCTGTCAACTAGAATCTACAAAAATTCAAATGAAACGTCAATCATCATTTTCTGTCGCCTCGGTAACGTTTTCTCAATTTCTTTAACTTTATTGTCTTTCATTCTCAGTAAACCCTTGAATTTTAGAGGCTTTATTGAGGGGAAAATTAAAAAAAATAAATCAACCCTAAAAATATCTCTATATATAAATTATGAAATAAGCTGTACGACAAACATTTTTTTAAACAATTCACCCCAAGCAAGGCAAATTACACCATTAAGACACAAGGGGCTACCGCAAGTGAAAGAGAGGAAAAAGACTTTAGAAGGATCCAGAAACACAATAATATAAATTACAGAGTTTAGGCAGAGACATCAGAAGTACAGAGATGATGTAGAATTTACAAGGAACCAGGAACCCAGTTCTAAACAGGACATTGTTAAAAATGGAATCATTGCATTGCTGTGAGCATTTAAAATTTTCTGTTGGCTATCATTTTCTGTTTTGCACTATAAAGAAAAAGTGATGCTTTCTTTTCATATGGACAATGCATTTTAAAAATGTTGTAAAATGTATTGGTTGGATCATTGAATGAGTTCAATCATCCCCAAAACTCTTGTAAAATAATAAATTTTTCAAAAATTTTGCCAAATGTGATAATGTTACTTGCATTATTACAGATATTTAACAATAATAGCTTATGATTACCTTTATTCATTCTATTGGAGTTGTGACACTCTTATTTTTTTTTTGTATATTTTTGGGGAGCAATAAAGATCAACAATGCTACAATTTCTGAAATCAATTCTATTGAAGGCTAAAAATTTGTGAGTAGACAGCATGTATTAATTTATGAATAGGCTTTCTTCTATATTGTTGCTTTTTATTACAATGGCCATTAAGTAAGCAACACGAATTGGAAATCCCTTTACTAATCCAGCCATGGAGAGCAGCCAGCTGAGCAATAACTTAAGGCTATTATATCTACTACTACTAAACAGAATGCATTTTTCTGGCTAGATTTAACTTCCCCTAGCTATTTGATCTCTCTGGTTAAATCAGTAAAATGTTGTCCAGGTCAGATGACCTCCCAAGGCTAAAAGAGAGGGGTTCAAATCCTCTCAAAAGTTAATTATTTATAATACATTCTGACTATTTAATAGTTGCATAAATAGAAAAAAACTTTACCATTTTAGCCATAGATACTAAATGGCTAAAAAACGTGAAGTTGATACTGAGTGTAATTGATTTCAGAGTTTAAAAAATAACTATTTATAATATTTAATGAATTATTTATATGATGAAGTTCGGTATATCTAAATATAAGATTTTAAATATGAAATAAATTTATTAAATATTTTATATATAAATATTATCTATAAGGTATTATAATAATAATTAAAACAATAATAATAGTACCTACTGTTATATGTAAAATTATGTAATTTAACGTTTGCCAAGATGAACAGAATTTTGTCAACAAAGACTTCAATAGATATCGAGAGCAATAAATATTGTTATCAAAAATATAAAAAGTTTAGGATATATATCAAAGGCCGACTTAAAAGCTTTGTGATGTTTTGCTCGTTCTTGCCCTGATGAGCCTAAATCAGTTTTTGGTAAGTATTGTGAACTTTTTATATATAAGATAATCTAATGATCGATATGAGTTGAATATCTGGATTAAATCTGATAAAAGGATCAAATAAGCAACAAGTAGGAAAACATTTATAAATTTGATATGTTTCCCTGTTTATTTAGCTTCATCAGAAATTTTGGAAGTAGAATAATGTGGAGTTGTTTCAATTTTTAAATTCTCTGTTATTTTGTTGTCATTTGTTGGGTAGACATCACATCTTCATTTAATGGCATTGGTATGTATGAGGTGCATTCCAAAAGTTTGGAGACTTTTCTTTGAGAGTCAGTTATAACTGTCCTAGATCATGGTAATTTTAGTATATCATTAATATACATCCACTCTGACCTGCTGACTTTTGTTATTCCAGATTGAAAGAGACGGCTGTAACAGCTCTTTGAATACACCCAACTAAACACTGTTTTTCATGACTAGTTTGCAGAATGCAGTCAGGACATGAAGACAATTTGGAAGCTCGCCATACAATAAATTTTTGTATTGACAGAGATGGTCAGCAAAACTATCCCTCACCTTCCAGACAGTGGTCCCTATGACTTTTGTTTGTTCCCTAAGCTGAAAGGAAACACCATTTTGAATACACTGAAAAGATGAAGGAAGCTGTGACAAGAGTGCTAGACATCTTCATTTCAGATGACTTCCATGGTGTCTTTATGAAGTGGCTGGAGCGCTTCAACAAGTGCATTGAAGTCAGAGGATCTGACTTTCTTAGTTTTTTTTTTTAAAAGATTAAAATTTTGTCCTTATCTGAAATTAATAAATGTTTCTTTTGAAAAAGTCTCAAAACTGCTGGAATGCATCTCGTATCTAAACAATTTCACATTATTACACTTCCCAAAATTTTTTGATAAAGCTAAATAAATAACAAAACATGACAAATTTGTAAAGGTTTTTACTTATTCTTTATTTAATCATTTTGTCAGATTTAATATATATATGTATATATGTATATATAAATCCATTAATTCTCTCTCTCTCTCTATATATATATATATGTGTGTGTGTGTGTGTAAATCCATCAATTCTCTTTCTCTCTCTATATATATATAATAAATCCATTAATTCTTTCTTTCTCTCTCACTCAGAGACTACATTCTGTTTCATGCTAAATGTAATCATTAGGCCATGTGCATTGTGTTTTTGCTCGATCTTTTATATATACAGGTCAGTGATGCATTGTGGGTAGTCTATCATAT